GGAAAGTCTTAAACAAATGATGCTGGAAGAATTGGAAATATATATGCAAAAAATAGAAAAAATATTTTGATCTATACCTTGATACATTGTACCATATACATAAAATAACTCAAAATGGATCATGGATTTAAATATAAATCCTAAAACTATAAAACTTCCAAAAGAAAAGACAGGAGAACAATTTTGTGACCTTGGATTGGGCTAATATTACTTGGGCACAACGGTGAAAGCAGACCTTCAGAAGAAAAAACATGTTAAATTGGACTTCCCCTAAATCAAGAACTTCTTTCTGCTCTTTAAAGGACACTGTTAAGAGAATGAAAAAAATAAGCCATAGACTGACAAGAAATACTTGCAAATATCTCTATGAACTTTGAAATTTCTAGTACAGAATTATTAAATATAGTTCTTCACTGAAAAAATACAGTAAGTTTACTGGACTGTACCATTTGGGGTGTGATTTAACATAGTTTAAAATATGAGCATAACTGAGTGCAGTTAACTCTTTGTTATTCCTATTTCTTAAAGTGCACGCCTGTTTTGAGTTTCCCTTCCCCCTACCCCAGTTAAAAAGATTTCTGTCCTTTTTAATTCAGCCTTCGTGGGCATGTTGCAAATATTCTGCCGAGTGCTATTTGTCAGGTTTATTGTAGTGGAGCCAATTCTTCATCTCAGCGTCTCACCTGTTTCTGTCTATTTATTTTTGTATAAGATGTCAAAGGAAAATGAAAAGTAACACCTCAAAATACCACCTTGAAAAAGAAAAATGCCAACAAATTCTTTTCTGCACCTGAAGCTTTTAATTCTTTAATCCACCATGGAATGTTGCTTAATTACATATTTTATTATGCATAACTGAAAATTATGTACTTTAGTTTAAACAATGATATGAAAGCACGTATTGTTTATAAATAAAGAGAGGCTGGTTTGTCTTTTTTATGTTACAAATATTTGTGGAATTCTTTCAGGTTCTCCTTCTAAAATTGGCTTTTTGAAAATTCTCAGAGGGTACTGGGAAAAACTTCCAGTGTTAGTAATTTTTTCCAGAAATCAGAAATTCATTACTTAGTAAAAAGTAAGATTATGCCATTGAATAGTTTGTATATTTTCATAAAAGTTTCATCTTAATTTTAACTAGTTTTGCAAAGTACTTATTAACAGAAAAATATTTCGAACTGGGCAATGAATCCTTGGGAGTTCATTATTCTTTTCTCTCTAGTTTTTCATGTGTATTTGAAAATTCCTGTAATAAAGTGTAAGAATTTTTTTTTAATTTGGTGATATGGATCTTATACAAGGATGGTAGTGTTTTGGGGTTAATACTTCATACACTTGATTTCAATTACTTTAGTAATGAACTTTTTATATTAGCAAAATACACATTTCTGAAAATTCTGAATTGCAGTGAATTTCTCCTATATTTTCTACATTTCGGAAAGCTTTTTTAAAAGAGATAGTAGAGATAGACATTTGTAGACAGAAGACTTGGTTTTAAGAGCACTGCTTGCTGCCAGTTGGCAGAACAAGCCAACTACTCGTGTTTCCCCTGTCTCGTTTCTGAAGTGGGAATCTCAGTGCCTGCCCTGACACACCTCACAGTGAAATGGAGGTGTGTTTGTGGCACTGCCTTGTAAGACGAAGCATTCAACACACGCTGTTGTAGTGATCACTTTAAGCGTATTTGAGGAGGCTGTTAGGAAGGGGCCTCAGAAAGTAGGAAGCCTTTGTATGAGATGGTAAAACAAATATTTGAAAATTAAAATTGGAAACAAAGGTGGAATAGCTGAAACCTATCCCCACATTAAGATGCTGTTGGACAGGCTGTTCTCCGGACACATGCTCATTTTGCATCACACTGCCACAGCCTCAACGAATTAATGGACACATTTAACTATTTGAACCTTGTCTAACAGGTCCTGTTGGTTCTGTTGGGAGTGGCAAGTCAGAGCAGCATGTGGAATATCATTTCTTTTGTGGGCCTAAGGGCATGAATTAGAGACTGTCACTGGACTGAAAGCTTCTGTGGATACCATAAAAAGCAAATATTTGATAACAGTAAATTCATCTGGCAGTAAAGAAATAATGCTTACCATTTAACAGTGCAAAATAGGTCACTTCAGAGTTTCCTTGCTGAGTGTTTATTTTGCAAGGCAACAAATACAACATACTGCTCTAGTGCATTTCCTCATCAACCACCTCATCAGAGAACAGGGCCCAGGTCATGTGCCTTTGATCACAGTTGGACTATTAGCAGCTGAAATTAGTGGATGGAAGAAATTGACTTAATACACAACCTTGGTATAAGCAAGAAGCCATAATGGAATTGTTGTAGAGTTATTTGGATAAAGTTATATTTGGAAATAGATATGATCCACATAAATAGGGTAATGTAAGAAAGGCTGAAAAATGTTGCTCATCTTTTAAACAGTGATTCCAAACTATTTTTATTTAACATTTGGTATTGTAAACAGGTATAGTATTATGGACATACACCTTCCACATTTCTTTAATAAGGGTACTTTATATTTTATCAAAAACGTGTATGTTAATAGATTGTAGCTTAGCCTTTGTCAAAGGACATGCAAGTAGTATTTACATTGAAAGGATTGCCTCAGAAGAAACACCGAATTCATAATATACCCCCTTAAAAAGTCAAAAATATTTATTTATAAGGTAAATTATAGCATCAATATCTTCTCATATTTTAGATATAATATTTTTGGAAATTCCACACTATCATGCAAATTTCTGGCTTGTTTTAACACAATAGTCCTATTTCTGTAGGCTATTTAATAGGGTATATACATTTTAATTGCTCTTTTCTGAAAATATTACCAGGCAGTTCAAAATACCTCATTTATTGGTATCATTGTGACAATCAAGGACCTTAATATCAGCTGATCACAATAGGGAATAGGGCAGAATTTAATAATGGAATGTATGGGATTGTCATTTTGTACTCAATCTTGAACCATGTGAAAATGTTTTCTACTCAAGCTATGTATTTTAGATAAGCACAGATATAGATATCACTACTTGGAAAAAACACTTTCTTTAAGCTCATTAGGACTAAATGTTAATCTATACACATTTTATACATAATATGTACAGACTTTGTAACCAAGTGCCACACAACTAGGGCACACATACATTAGTTACCTTGGTTTTCAAAGGTTGTGTGTCAACTCTGCATATTTTGTGCCAAGGAGATACTATCAACATTATTTTTTGCATAATGTGCAAGTATTATATGGCCACAGAGTGTAATACAAATTAGTGGCAAAGTGCTGAGGGAAGGAATCCATGACAGATTCAGATGTACAAGGTTGAATATTACCCGTAAACTACCTGACTCTGCTAAGGTCTTAACAGCGCGAAGCGCTCTATCATGCCCCGCTTTTAAAAAGTCTCTGATAAACTTGGACACAATGAAGCTTGTTCAAGGAACCTGCCATAGCCACCTGGCAACGAGAGAACTGGTATGCTCAATAATGACGTGGGAGGGGCAATGTGGAAGGTCACCCAGATCTTTTAGAAAATGTGCCATCTTTCCTGAAAACAATTTTATTCACTCTGTCATCACCTTGAGTGTTTACTGACATGTGCTTTTTTTCTTTTTGGTTTAATATACCATATTAGCAAAATTACAGTGCTTAAGTTAAAGGACCTAAGTAAGAGTTTTGTTAATGTTGTTGATTTCTTACACACACTCACTAATTCACTGAGAATGTTATTTTAAAAGTTAGATTATTGGGAATGGGAAAATCTTATTTTGCAACCCATCCTTTCCTTCCATTAAAATATTAAATTTCGTACCTCTGACACCTTATGTGAAGTGTTGGGCTAGTTAAAAAAATAGTCTCTCTGCTCTAGGTTTTTCCTTAAACTCAAGAGAAAAGAAAGGAATATAGTTTTCTTAAAAACTTCATGGCATACTAATTTCCATTTGTTTTTTAATACATGAAATCTTCTATTTTAATTCAAGCTCCTTTTGCTCAAATGCTTTTCTAAAGTCCAGTGAGCAAGAATGTTTAAAAGTTTTCTCACTTAAGAATTAAAAACTTTTCAGTCAATTTTAAGTTTGCAGCAAACCAGCTGCTTTCATAGTAGTTCAGCCGCACTTCAAGAGTAAACAGTACTTTTTAAAACTGAACTGGGAGTTTTCAATGATACCGTCTCAGCTTCCTGCATAAAAGTTCAACACTAAAGCAGCCCAGTTGCCTACCCACAAGCTTATCAGGGCCTAGGGCGATGGCAGGAGAAGAATGGGCCATTTCAGAACCAGGTTTTAAGGAACCCAGGCACACCTATCAACTAACATCTAGGAACCCTTTCAAAGCAGGAAGCAAAATATAAAGTAATTATAAAAAAAAATCAAGAACTGCAACCCTGGCCTCAATCCTATGACCATTAGCACACCTAATTTTCTATCTTGAAGACTGTGTTTAAATTCCAGGTGTGTTATTCTTGTTTTCTTCATGTGGTTCTTACAGTTATGACATACACACTCAAATGAACTGAGTTAACTTATACTCCATTTATAACTTTAAAAAAATACACTGCTTATTAAGGAGTTTTTATACAGAAGGTCCATTTTTCCATGCTTATTTTACGTTACTATTAGTGGCCTTTAAAAATATCTGTGCATTAGCTTTAAAAGCGTTGCCATAACTGAAGTATTGTGAAGTAAATGCAGACGAATCCATCCTGAGTACATGACTGCCAGAGACTGGATTTCTGTTTTTTCTTGGCGAGTCTTTAGACCATCCTATCTGTTTATTAAGCAAAATGTTAACCTAAAACAGGTTATCATCTTCATTAGCTATACTTTAAAAATGAGCATGTTTGTGATTTGAATTTACAGTGTTTTGAGTGACTTTTCAATTGCTCTTTTTAAAATCAGTGGAATATCAAGAAGGTAAGAACATGCATCTAACTGGGAGGGCCATCTCTGACTCTTCAAGATTACTTCACATAAGCAGACAAACCCTACCATGTCATACCATACAAACAATTTTAATTGTGTAGTTACAGTCAATAACCACTCCTAATCAGAACATTTCTGCATAAAGAAAATTGTGGTACACTTATAAAAACAGCCAGCTGTAACAAAATAGCTGGTGTTTTCATAGCCATAAACTCATAAAAAAGAAATACACCTTTATACAGAAATTTTATACAGATGTAGCTTTCAAATTGATTGTAAACCAAAGGAAGACACATTGCAAACATCGATTATTTTCACATTAATTGCATAATTTTCTAAGGTGATCTATTAGTTTTATTTACCTAAGCTTATTTGCATGATAGTAAAAATTGCATACAACAATAAGAGTGAAGCTTATAGTATGAATTGCTTGGATAACATAGAGCACTTTTTATAGGCAACTGTGTAAAGCACATTTTCTCTATTTAAAACTTTTAAGACACTTTGTTTTACTGCCCATCAAAATACATTTATAAATAGAAAAGAATCAGTATGGTAACAAGAGAAGCAATATTACATTTAACGGAAACTTCCAAAAAATTAATTACAACATGATGCTGCAGGATCTACAAATAAATAATGAGGACTAAATTGTGTTTCACATTTTTTCATTTTTTTTAAAAAAAATCATGTAACAATGAGAATGAAAAAAATTACAGTGAACTTTTATTTCCAAAATAAAAACAAATTTGAATTACGGCAGTGCCATATAATACAAGGCATTTGTTGGCATATGTCATCTTTAAACTGCATTCCACAGTCTATAGTTCTTTTGTAACATACAATAGAGTAACAAACTCTTTTTTTTTCTTTTTAAAATAAGGGGCGAGTTTCCAAAGATCAGTGTGGAGTGTTACAGAAATAATTAAAGGAAGGAAATGATAATCACAGAAGTTATAATGCTTGTTTGAGGCTCCAGAATAATAATTATTATTTAAAAAAATCACTGGTATCATGCTAACGGGGTACACACCGTGGTGCGTCCCGTGAACACAAATTTGAACTTTTAATACCAAACAATCCTCAATGCTTCACCGGGGGCTGCCAAGCAGTTTGTAAAACAGAGTAAAACGTTTAGTGCAGTCTGTATTATCCTTTCTCCACTTCTCCTGTTTGTGCAACTTTCTGAAGATTCGTTGGCCAAACCATGAACAACATAGGCTTTCTGAGCAAATACAGGTGGATTTTCATTTGTTGGTAAATACCAGTGGCACTGTTGAATGAAAATAATACTTTTTCTCTCAGTCTTTCAAGTCAGCGTTAACGTCTGTGTTCCCTTCCACTGCTAGCTCGTCTTCTAGTTTCACCGAGAAAAGGGTGTTAGCGTTTTTATCTTGGACACTCTCTTCTAAATCCTTAAGCAACTCCTCTTCTTTGTATTCAGCCACATCCACCTCTAAGCCGGAGTTGTCCTTCAGTTTGCCGTGGTGCTTGAGATAATACCGCTGGTTCTGAAAGAACTTGATGATGGTGTACTTGGGAAGGTCCAGCTGGGCCGACAGAGTCTGGATGGCCTCTTCGTCCGGGTACAGGCCTACGTCTTGGATGAAACTCTGGAGGATTCCCAGGGCCTCCACGGAAATCTTTGTTCGAGGCCGGGTCTTCTGGCGGCTGTCATCCTCGGCCTCGGCTGGCGCGGCCACGGTGGGCTGCCGTGGGGGGAGCCGGGGGCCAGCCGGCTGCTGTGCCTGGGGCTGCGGGGGCGGCGGGGCCGGCTGCTGCGCCTGGGGTTGGGGCTGCTGCTGGAAAGGAACAGGCAGACAGTCAGAGCTCTGTGTTCTCCTAGGTGTGCACGCAGCTGGCTACAATGACCAAGCATGTGCTTAGGGATCCCATGGCTGGCTAGCTAATCTGATGGAGACAAAAGACTTGGGCCCAAAAAGCAGGCCAGCTACATGGCCCATAGCATTAAGGGGGAAAAAACCCTCAAAATGATGAGAGCTGAGAAGGAAGGAAGGAATCTGGTTGGGGAGGGGGTGGTCTACTAACTAGGCTTCCATCTCAGGAGGTCAGGGGAGGCTCCTTAACCTGGATTTTCATACCAGCTCACTGAAGTGAAAACTCGGCGCTCTGAAAATGGGAGCCATGAATTTCACCTGACTACCCATCAAACGTGAATATAGCCAAGGAAATTAGGATGTAAATGAGTAACACATTTTTGAAAGGAATATGGAGAAGGATTTCAAAGGCATTTTAGAAAAGCGAGGTACAGAACCATGAAAGAAATGTGTTGTGCCCCATGTCATAGGGTGGATGAATCGTGAAGCAAAAATAGAGAGTTTTCTTTAAATTACAAATAATATAGATAATCCTCTGCTCTTCTTCAGCAGTATCTCTTATGAGTCCAAAGGAATAGTGAGATTCTCACGTTTGTGAATTCACTACTACACAGTTCTGCTTTAATACACAATGTCTTACCAAATTGCACTGAGCTGACAGTGCAAGTTTTTTCGTACCGAAAAATAAAGGTTCAATGCACCACACAATGGCTGGCGAATTGTTTTGTCTACAGTAAACTTGGATGTGATTAGGATTTAAATTTAGTGTACACAGACACTGCTTCATAATTAGTACCCATACATGTGCTGTAATTTCCATATACAATTACACAGAACAAATGTGTGACACACGCATGTACCTGTACTCTCTACCCGTAACTCTTATCAGCAAAGCAAAGCATCCTGAGTACTCGACAAAATATCAGAACCTTTATACTGTGCCTTTTATATACTGTGCATTACCTTTTATCCTGCTAAGAAGCAATTTTATTAAAAACGATTTACATTTTCAAACAAGTCCTATTTTTACTACTTAATGTATATCTTTCTCTTTTTTGTTTTTGCTAAACAGTAAGTTTATCAGGCTTTCACGATGATTTTAGTGCTTGATATCCTAAGGGATTTTCTTTTTCAATTTATCTTTAATACATACTCAAAGATTTTTTTCCTAGTGGATGGATAACCTTATTATTGTTTTTAGCTATATATGTGTTTTTTTTTCACAGCAATACCCAGAAATAATGAAGGTGATTCACCAAAGGTAGTAGGATTTTAGGGCTCTGGAAGGCAATGGCATTTTCCTTTAAAGGGGAAAGCTAATAAATTATAAAGCTCAAGTTCAATTTCAACACACTTCCTAAGCAATCAAGGCCATAAGAGTACCAATAACTACTTGATCCCAGGGCTTTCATATCTAAATGCATAGGGAGTCTCCTCAGTGGATGATTGGAGACAAGTCCCATGATGGGACAAGCTATGTACAAGGCTGATTCTGTTGGCACAGTGGTCTCTGCCCACTGCCATGTTTAGTGCATCCTTTCAAAGTCTGAATATCTTCACCAAGAGAGCAGGTCTCTAAGCCACGGCGTCCCCGTCTCTGTGTCCATTTCTTGCTGGCAAAGGTAACTGGTGCCCGCTCACCTGAGGAGCAGCACCAAGCCGTGGTATAGGGGGCCGCAGCAGGCCTGGTAAGAAAAGGCCTCCGGACTCTCCTTTCCTAAGGGTGGTGGGAGAGGGGTTCTAAAGGAGAGACAGGCGGACGTGACTCACCTCTAACCTGCGTTCCATGAGGGCGTAGGGAGGTAACCATAAGGGGCAGGAAGGGCCAAGGAGTCGGAATGAAGTCTGTAGTTAAGTTTCCCTCCCCTCCTCCTTTTGGACAGAAACCAAGGTATGAAATTGTAATTCTATGAAATTCCTCTACAGAAAACAGCGGTAATTCCTTTCCTCGGGGGCAGTGTAGGTATTCGTTTCAAAAAAGAAAAGGTGGTGTGTTTAAATTCTGATTTTTAAAAACGTAAGCTCTTATACACAAAACAACCCGATTCTAACAAAGACATGCTTGCCGAACAAGAAGTGTAAGAAGGGGTTCTTGCCACTTTGGGGGTGGGGAGATGAGGGGAGAGGAACACAAAACACATGTTGGAGAAAGTGTTAATTTTCCTTTCATCCCCCTGAGCAAGACGCCACTGTACTGCTATCTCTTGCTAAAAAGCCCGTGTTTAGACTGCGGGGAAGAAGAGAAACGCTAATATCCCTGCTAAGTTTAAAGCTCTATTTACTTAGTGCTATATTGAATTGGCCAAGGTAAACGAACCTGAATCTGTTCTGCTGGAACATGGATGATGTGGGGCGGCCTGTCGCCATGGTGATGCACCGCGTTGCTCTCCTGTTCATATATGGCATCGCGTTCTGGCTGAGGAAGACTGAGGAATCTTCGGATCATGGAGAGGTTCTCCCACAGGGTCCTGTTTTCTGGAGAGGGATCTTCTTTCCAACGTAACAGCTCACACAACCACCCCTTAGAGACAAGGGAATGATAGGTCAGTTCATGCCTATGGGGTGGGCAGGGCAAGGGCTGACAATTTCCATTAAGAGCTTAAAAGGAAAGACCCTGTGAAGTTAACTTTTTTTTACATAAGCTTAAAACACTCCAATCTGCTTTAACATTTTTTTTAAACCTGTTAAGAGAATAGTTGTGGCCATTGAGGAGGCAGGCTCTGTTTCCAATAAATGTTCAGACTTGCATCTTTAAGGAGGGTAATGTTTTTCAGACTCTAAGGGCAAGGCACATTTACCATGGACTCTGTGATGTGTGAAACAGGAGAAAAGCAAAGTTGAATGTGCTTCGGTCCTGCCCACATTCCTGTCTGATGCATGGCCACCTGAAGTCCTGAAGGTATTTAAGAAGAGACAGGACAGCTTTTTAAAAATAATTTTTCTAAAAGGACTTCCAAAGTTCACAATTTCTGTATCAGAAAGGAAACTGTGCAAATATTTGTGTGCGTGTATGAGTGTCACAGTATGAAAGAGAAAGAAGGGATATGTGCAACCGTGTGAGCAAGAACTTTGTCCAAAATACAGCATGACGATTAGACTGGGCATAAGAAGAATTCTCAAGACACCTCGGAGTCTGTTTTCCTGCCTACTGCAGTATACACTATGATTTGTCAAGCAATACTTTTATCAGATTTCCTGAATAAAGAATGAAATGCCCAATGAATGCTAAAATCTGAACCTTACTGATACCTCTTAAAGTTGAACTGTTGGTCCTCAGACCATCTCTCAAACACTGAGTGATCTAACAGAGTACATTGTCTAGCATTTTCTAATCACCGTCTCCAGCTTTCTTCCATCTTGGCTGCCATGATGGACACTAAGGAATGGAGTGGAAAGGAAGGGGGAGCACCCTATCCAGACCCTCTTCACCAGCCAAGGCCAATGCCCCCAGCTGCTGTGCTGGCTGCCAAGAACCTACAGTCACACTCTTCTGTGGAGAGCTGCCTTGGGGCCATCTCACCCAGAGATGCCCAGACAGTTGTTACTCCACATCTTCCCTGGCCCCCTCACCCAGGGTGGCCATGGCTGGCTGACCCAGTGGTACAAAGTCTCTGCCCAATAGCCCCAAAGTGACAACTCATCTACCCTTAGATTTACTTTCTAGAGATGGCCCTATCTCTGCCATCAATACAGACTTTACCTGAGACCACATTCTTGCTGGACCCTATCCTCCTCGCTCCTTCCAGGTCCCTCACCAAATCAAGGGCACCTGATTCCCCATCCCAGGCACTGCTTTAGGGGACTCGGCCTAAGACAAAGGAGCTTCTTGAAAATTTCAACTACATTATTTGGATGTGAACGGATAAAGTACAGTTTCCTTATTACCTGATTTTTAGAACTAGCCAAGGAGAGGGTTTTTGTTTTTGTTTTTAATGATACTTTGTAGTGAGAATGGAATGCCTTTCTTCTCTCTCTTCTCAAACTGAACCACTAGAGAGAAAATTCTCTTTCTAACTGCAATATACAGTGGGAAGAAGCAAGGTCCATCTTCCCCAAAATGGCCTATTTGAGAGATTTGAGAGAGAGAGAGAACTGATACATTACCTTCCCAAGGCCCATCTACTAACAAGCCAAGAGTGACTGCTGCTAAACCTCATGACACCCACCAATTCTTCTCAGAGAGCTTTGACTCCCTACTCAACAGGTCTTCTAGTTAAAGGAATACGTGCATGGGGATGGTCATGAAATCACGCACTCCTTCTATGCCACTGAATGCATAATTCAAGGCTACAAAAGCAGGCAGTAAACTGAAGATTTGCCTAAAAGAATAATAGCTAAATAAAAAGGACGAACGGTGACTACAGTGTCATTGAACATGCTTCTCTTCTAGCCATGGCAATTCCGTGTTTATTTCCAGAATAATACAATGATATGTTATATGTCAGCTCTATTTATGTGAATGCAATATTAACTATGAAACTGTATTTGAAATATTTGAGACCCACTTGCACAGGGTGCCTAGGTGTGGTTATTTAGCTCTTACTGGTAAATACTTGCTATCTAACAAGCCACAAAAATACTTCCCATTTTCCTACATCTAAGTTCTTTATTTCGCTCTAAGCGGTGATGCTGTGAAGGTTTCAGGTACACCCTCCTGTAGGCTTGAACACTAACTGTGTCACCGTCCCCCCTCGTCTGCAGCCTTCGGCTATGACCACCGGCAGGCCCCCTGCCTAAATGCAGCATGCACCACAATTTTATTTATCTTTCAAGAGATGTTAGAAGGTTCAAACAGAGAAGTTTTTTTTTTTTTTTACTTAGCTAGTAAAAAAAAATCATTGCAGTTAAGTGCTAAACATTGAGCATCTAAGAAATTTTTTTTTTAGAAACTAATGCTTGTAACTAAAAATTGCTAAAAGTTAAATTAAGAACAATTCATGTAAGAAAAGCTTCCTTTAGAAACTTTTTAATGCAGAGTTCAGTTAGCACTTGGATATATGTGAAAAAACATGTGGATCACAGATGTTCTTTGGAAAAGAAAATCATTAGTTCTTTTAAAATGGCTAATAATGATAGCTAATTCCTAAACAATCACATTCACGCTGGTTTAACAAATATTTCAGAAAAAGAGCCCTGACTCATTCAACAAATATTTTGCTCATATTGTCCCTTCTGTGTCTCTATACTTATGAGATAGATCCTTATTTTTATTAATTGCCCATGACTAACATAACATTTCCAGTAGTTTGCTATTAACCTCTGCCCTTAAATAATACTTCTAATTCCTTATCTAAAAATAATTTGATGAATTACAAGTTTGAAGCATGTCTCTGCTAGCCTTTCAAGAAACACGATGATTTTAAGAGACTGAAATCAGATGCTTCTTAGAAAAATATTTAACGGTGCAGCTGGGAACTGTTAGTTCTACAAGGATATTCCAAAAAAACAAAAAGGCAGGGGGAGGGTGGTGTTGCTTTTCTTCATGTGCGTCTCTCTTAAAAAGCAATGGATAACATATTTTCACACTCTGGTTCTGTCAGCAGAGAAAGAAATTGGCCCATCCCCAATTTTCACCGGCGAAAGTAAGATTAATTTTTCTAATACTATCCAAATAACGGAATATTCTGACTAACCCAAATCTCATTGATTGAGATTTTATTAATGATGACAGTAATCTAATCTATGTTTTGCAGAAAGTGACTAAAAAAGCCAAACGATTTCTAATTCCTCTATACCTTCTTCTAGGTGACTTTTCTGTAAGTGATACTGTTAGAACATATAAATTTGGGAAGAAAATGAACATGTCAGACTATCTGTTAACATTTAACAAATAAAAAATAATGATTCTCCTATACTGTACTTGTTTTTTAATGATAAATTTATAGATTTACTTGGTAGAGGAGACAAGGAATGAAAAATGTGAACATAATTACCTTTTTAAGAGAGGTCTCTGAGATCTGAAATACCATTAAGATGATAGGCAAGAGTAGGGAACTACTCTCAAAATTAAATTCAGTGACAACTCTTCTGAACAGTAGTAAAGACAGAAGACTAACAACCTTAAAATAATGACCCTGATCCATTCTCAGAAAACTAAAATGGTACAAGGAACAACCTAAACTTTAAATGTAGTAAATTTGCCAAGCAATATTACACTGCATATAAAGAGGGCAAAATATAAACAGTGGCCACATGTAAATAAATTAGTAAAACTTTCAGGATGTTACTACTTTTCAAACTGACAAAGTTTAATTTGACACCTTCTGTTCTAAACCCTTTGTTTCTATTCAAAATCACGCCTTGAGCTGTTGCTATCAATCACGGCGCTCCCCCTATTACTTAAAAAAACTGGCATGGACCCTGAATAAGCTGAAAATGCCATGCAGATGAATTCTGAGATAATATGTTCAAACCTGTTATATACAACACAAATCCTGTAAAGTTATGTATTGTAAACCTACATTTATTGAGAACTAAAAGTCTTAAATCCATCTGCCACAAAGGAAATACCATTGTGTACTTTAGAGTAACCAAGAACCATCTGCAAAGGTCTTGCCACCGTAAGCAAGAAAAGGGTGGGGTGCAGAAGATGCTAAAGCTAAGACTGCATGAAATAAATAACATTCTTATGACTGCTTTGGGTTAGGGACCTATTAAAGAAATACAAGATCGGAGGAAGGGGGAGAAGAAAAGAGAAAAAATGCAGAATGACTGCCAAACCAATACTGACAAAAAAGCAAAACAAACTCGATGGCAACACAATGGCAATTTATTATGGTCCATGAAACACACGACTGTATGCTCATTTTAAAGGAAAAATTAGCAGTTCTCAACTCAGTATTCTAATGACGTGCTTTACTGACAGAATCTTGTTGTACCACATTTAAATAAAAATCCTGGCACCTCCGTCTCTCAGCTGCTAATTTCCAACCAAACTCAATCTCTGATTTCCACTCCACTCTTTATAGAACAGTTAATTCAAGTCAATTCACTTCTAACATTTTAACGCATAAGGGGTGCACAGGATTTTAATTTAGTCAGGAAAGGAACCTCATTTCACAAATGAATTTATTGTACCTATACGGTCTCACACATAAAAAGAGCAACCTTTCAGAGCCGGGTCTGTGACAAAGCTAGGGAGCATGTAACACAGTTAGTTTTCCAGGAGAAAATAGACTTCTATATTCTCTGAGGAAAAAAGTCATTTAATATAATATACAGATATGTATATATGATCATTATATACATATGCATTTTAAACCCAAGAGCTATAAAGAGAAAGAAAATGACAAATAATTCTTGCTACAACTAAGAAGGAAAAATACATTTTAAAAAATAGAATGGTAATTTGAGTTGTAAAAAGCAAAACATTTTATAGTCTGTATTTATCCCTCCATATTTTATGTGTTATTTGCAGAAGTATTTCGTTCCAATCTCTGGGGCACATAGTATAATAATATATGATATTAAAAGAAATCAATCTAAATAGGGAGGTATTTGATACAAACATTTTAGTGGAAA